ACAACCAGGCAGTGTCCCCACACTCACCCCAAAATTCCTGTCCCTGCTCCCGCTGCCTGGGCTGGGGGTGTAGGTATGACCCCAGCCGGCTGCTTTAACTCACATTTGTGTTACTTACCAAGTATTTTTTCCAAGTTTCATTTAATTTCTGGCAATTCTAAACCACCGTTCTCAACTGACTGCCCGCAGCAGCACGCAGCTCAGCACGAGTTTATCCAGCCAGCCGGGATAAACTCGTGCTGAAAAAGCTGCTCGTCAAGCTCTGAGTGGCGTTATTCCCCTTCAGCTTTTGCTGCAAACACACCTCAAACCGCTGCTGCGCGTCCCGAGGTTCCCCATGGGAAGTCTGATATTAAAGCTCACTGGAGGCCAAAAGCCGGGCTCACAGGCCCACCTGGTTCTGGCCAGCGACTGGTGTGCTCCCAATTCCCTGCTCACATATGGTTCAGTTTTGTTTCAATAACCAGTGGGGTGAAAAAAAAGCAGCCAGTGGGGATTCCCAGACTAGAGGCAGACAGCTGGAAAAGATCAACCCATTTGCTGTTTCAGGCACAGTCACCTCACACAAAGCAGCACAGCTTCAGCAGACACCCCAAAACCAGCGCCCCAACAGCAGGGCAGCACCCCGACGCTTTAAATCCCCTTAGCTGGAAGTGGAAAGCCCAACTCCACGCCCTTGACAAGGGTTGCTTTGCCCAACTCTCTTCAGAACGATCACACAACCCTCAAATAACCGGAGACCTCAGAAAAACGCCAGATGAAGCAGACGGGGTGTGTCAACTTCCCTCACAGCGAGCGCCGGCTCAGGATGCCATCACCCTGACTCGTTTCACTGTCAGTTGTAGCTTCCCACCCAATCTCCCGCACCCTGAAGCGCCAGACCTCCTCACGAGCGAGGGAGGCTTGGGCACAAAGTTTGATATATAGCTCTGCGCCACATCATTGAGGGGTTTTTTTTGTTAGCAAAAGCAGAGTTTGCCAGTATCTAACCCAAGCAAGACTGGTATTACTGGGAGCCGCACCCCCAGCGGCCTGGCTGTTCACCCACCAGTCGTTTTAAGAGCATCATTCTACTGCTCCGCTTGCAAACCTGAGGGCATCACACACGGCTCAGCACTGGAGACCACCTGGTTTTATGTAGGGAAGCTGAGGACAGCAGGGCAGGCTCATTTAGGTGTGCCCCCAGGGCAGCACCCACCCTCTGGGAAAGCCACTGGAAGGCAACAAAAAGCCCATAACCATGAAAACCTTTACAGAAGGCGAATGCGCACACGACAGTGGGGCAAGGAGACTATTTATTGAGTAGGGCTGCGCCGAGGTGCTGCAGATGTGTCAGGGAGGCCCAAGGAAGCCCCCGGGAGCTTCTGGCGACAGCCTCATCCTCCAAGCGCTCAGTCCAGCTGCAAAAGAGCAAGAAAAGGGAGAGGAGTCAGCGGGAACCGGCACGCCTGCCCCTCCCGCAAAGCCCCGAGGCCGGCGCTTACCTTGATGAAGCCGATGTCCTTAGCGTACTGGCGGAAGCACTGCCGGCACATATTCAGGCCGTACTTGCGAATGAGACCGTGGCGGTTGGAGCACACGCGGCTGTGGGAGAAGAAAGCAAAGCCGGTCAGGCCGGGTAATGGCGGAGAGGAGGGGAAGGGGGAAAGAAGGAAGGGGAGGTGGAGTGAGGCGGCCGCCGCGGCTCAGGGGACCGGGACGCGCACTGACCAGGAGCGGGAGCCCTGGCCGAACTTCCTGGGGTGGCTCCAGTAGAGCTGCTGGTGGCCCATGCTGCCTGCTGCGCGCCCGGCCGCGAAAAGAAAATGGCGCCCGGCGCATGCGCTAATCAACGCTGGGCCTCCCCACCCCACCCCACCCCACCCAGCATCCCGGCCTGCACCGCGGCGCGGCTGGGGGGCGGCGCCTGCGCGCGCACACACCCCCCTCGGCGTGACGTCAGAGCGGTGTGAAGGGAGTTGGGGGTGGCGCGCGCGGGTTTCTCGCGCCGGGCGCGGTGGCGCGCGCCTGTAGTCCCAGCTACTCGGGAGGCTGAGCCCGCCGGATCGCTTGAGCCCAGGAGTTCTGGGCTGCAGTGCGCTATGCCGAGCGGGCGTCCGCGCTAAGGCCGGCATCAATATGGTGAGCCCCGGGGAGCTGGGGCCCACCAGGTTGTCTAAGGAGGGGTGAACCGGCCCAGGTCGGAGACGGAGCAGGTCAAAGCTCCCGTGCCGGTCAGTAGCGGGATCGCGCCTGTGAATAGCCACTGCAGTGTAGCCTGGGCAACACAGAGAGACGCGGGCTCCTTTTGCCCCGCCTGCCTATTGCCCCCGCGCGCCCTACCGCCTCCTACCGGCCCGCCGCGGCGGCAACGCGGGCACCCCCTGCACTGCCCCCTGCTGGCGGCCGTCGGCACCCGCGCCCTGTGCGCATGCTCCCAGTAAAAAAAAAAAAAAAAAAAATACGCTGTTCAACATTGCAAATTGCAAAGCCATCAGTCCTTAACAAAATAAGCGTGGAAAAGCAATGCAGAAAGGATTCACTGATTATTTTTTTTACTATTATTATTATGGTTTTTTTTTCTCCTAATCTAATTCTCGTTAACACAGCGAAAGCTGGCAGGGTGGGCTCTCCTCGACTGCTGTGTCCCCTCAGCTCAGCCCGGTCAGCGCACAGGGAGGACCGGGTACCACCCGGATGGCACCTTCAGGCCAGGAGCTCTGTAAATTCAGCGGTATCATTCCCATTCCTACTGCACACAAGCTTAAAGCAACTCGTCCCAGATGCTGAAATTCCACAACCCGAGATTCCCAACCTGCCCTATGTCTACCAATCCGCTTTTACATCGTGAGTTTCAATTTTTTCAATTCGATTACCCCTCTTGTTTTGGTAATGAATTTTTCATAATGCCCCATGTTCTCCTGTTCCTTAGAAACTCTGAGCTACTCTTCCCAGAGGAGCTGGAGGATAAAGGGCGGCACTGGCACCTCAATCGACCAAATGGCAACCGCACATGGCAGCGGATGAACAGGGCTTTTTACCCGAGCTTGGTTTCTGAACGCCTGCGACCGTCGTTTCTGGTGGGGCTGGCTACCTGACCCTCTTCCAGCAGCAGAACCCACCCTGCAGCCCACACAGCTCCACCACACCGGGGACGGGGCACCGTGCCCGAGGTGATGCTGTCACTGCACCCGGCAGAAGTTCAGAGGCAGCGCTGGTGACCCCGAAATCGGGAATGGAAACTCCTGAACGCCGGGTTTCACATTAACGAGCAGGCGTTACTTTGTTCAGCCGGGGACATGAGGGATTCATTTCACACACCATGTCCACCATAAGTTACAATAGCCAAAGCTTATTCCTCAGATTTCCTAAACCTCATTATCATATTCACATAATTACTATGCATGCGGTTTAGGTCTCTCGGGGGCTTCCATGGGGGTTGGTGGTGCTCTCTGGAGCGGAGCACTTCTTGAACTTTGTCTAGACTTTGGAATTGGCCTTTCTTTGGTTTATGCCGGCACTTTCATATCTCCCACCTACCTTCAGCTAGTTTGTTATTTTCCAGAGGGCCTTATTCTTCAAGGCCAAGGGCTTCTGATTAAGAGTCTCCCAATTTACAGACGGTGGAGCATCTCCATTTACACATTCTCCAGGTGTTTATCACGCCTGCCTAGCTCAAGGACCTCTGCAACAGACATGTTGCAGGTGTTTGACCAATTGCTTAAGTTCTTATGCTACCCTGAACAGTTTTTTTTTTTTTCTTCACCCGTGTTCCAACACTGGGAGCACTGGTACCTTTGCAAATGAACACACAGAAGGATTTCTTGTAAAATATGTATTCCCTCTGCTACATACCACAATTGTAGAAACTGTCCAAAAGATTTGCCAGCGGGGCTGGACCTGTGGCTCAGAGCCGCCCACCCCGCCGAGCAGCAACGTCCCACCACCAAGTGCAGACAACCCGCTTATTCTGTGTTGCTCACCCACCACCTGGCCGGGGCTCCTTGCTGCTGCCAGCATGGGAGGTGTGCCGCACCTGTGTCAACCGAGCCCGGGGGGCACCAGGGACCAGCGTGTCCACAGGGGTGCTACTCCATGTCCCCACACACCCACCATCCCCTCAGTTCCCTCCGCATCCCCTCACACCCACCATCCCCTCAGTTCCCTCCGTGTCCCCTCACACCCACCATCCCCTCAGTTCCCTCCATGTCTCCTCACACCCACCATCCCCTCAGTTCCCTCCGTGTCCCCTCAGTTCCCTCCGCATCCCCTCACACCTGCCGTCCCCTCAGTTCCCTCCGTGTCCCCTCAGTTCCCTCCATGTCCCCCCACACCCACCATCCCCTCAGTTCCCTCCGTGTCCCCTCAGTTCCCTCCATGTCTCCTCACACCCACCATCCCCTCAGTTCCCTCCATGTCCCCTCAGTTCCCTCCGCATCCCCTCACACCTGCCATCCCCTCAGTTCCCTCCGTGTCCCCTCAGTTCCCTCTATATGTCCCCTCACACCCACCATCCCCTCAGTTCCCTCCATGTCCCCTCACACCCACCATCCCCTCAGTATTTCCCCCTCACATACACCACCCCCTCAGTTCCCTCCATGACCCCTCACATACACTATCCCCTCAGTTCCATGTCCCCTCAGTTCCCTCCGCATCCCCTCACACCTGCCGTCCCCTCAGTTCCCACCGTGTCCCCTCAGTTCCCTCCACGTCCCCCCACACCCACCATCCCCTCAGTTACTTCCATGTCCCCTCACATACACCGTCCCCTCAGCTCCCTCCGTGTCCCCTCACACCCGCCATCCCCTCAGCTCCCTCCACCCTTCCCGCCGAGCCGAGCTGAGCCGCTCGCCTCCTGCAGGGGACGCCGCCGCACATCCCCGCGCTGAGGGCCCCTGGCTGGCGCTGCCCGCGGCTGCCGGTACCGCCGCTCCCCGCTTCCCGCCCTTCCCGCCCCGCCAGCCCTTCCGCCGGGCGGCCCTGTGCCCCCTGACCGCCGGCGGCGGGCGGCGGGCGGCCTCCGGGGGAGCCAGGCGGCAGCGGCGGGCGCCTTGTGCGCGGAGAGCGCGGGAGGCCCCCGGGCGGCACCGCCCCGCCCGGCCCCGAGCGGGCCCGCTGGCCGTGCGGCGCGGCGATGCGGTTGCAGTGCGAGGTGGAGGTGGTCAGCCGGCTCCTGCCCACTTGCGGGCTGCGGGGTCGCGGCCGTGGCACCAGGGCGCTCCTCTCGCTCGGCCGGCCGCCCGGACGGGCGAGGGAGGGCGGCGTTTACCTCATGGTGTGCACGGCGCGGGACCGGGTCGGTGCTCGCTACAAGGTGAGGGACGGCGGCGCCGTGAGCGGGGGACCGAACCGGGGCGGGGGGGGGGGAAGCCGGGGCCGGGGCGGGTCCCCTCCTACCGCCGCGGCTGCTGAGCGGCCCGTTGTGCCTCGTAGGTGCAGGAGAACGTCGAGCGGTTCTTCACCCGGTTCGTAGAGGAGGGCAAGGCCACCGTCCGCCTCCGGGAGCCCGCGGTGGACGTCTGCCTCAGCAAGGTGGGTGTGGGGGCCGCGGCTGGCAGCCCGGCGCACCGGTGAGGGAGGAATCGGGGCCGCGGCCGGTGCCCGGAGCCGAGCGACGTGTGGAGGCGGCAGGGTGGCTCGCCGGGGACATTTCTCCCCGGGCACCACGCTGGGACAGTTCCCCCCCGGGTGCCCGGGTCTGCCTGGGGTCCGTCTGATAAATGCCACGCAGAGAATAAGGCTTTGTCTTAACCGTCTTCTCAGCTTCGACACGGGAGATGTAAACGGGGCAGCATGAGGGAGCTTGGCTTTGTACGGCCTCAGCAGGCTACAGCAAAAAGGGAAATAAAAGGGAGCGCACTCTTTGTGCCAGGAAGCCTGGGCCCAGCTTCTTTGCTGATTCTTCTGCTCCTGGAGAGACTTCAGGAACAGAGAAGTCAATTTTTCATCTTCTTTGCCGCATGCTTAGAGAGAAACAACTTTTTTCCATCTCACTGTTACAATATCTTGCTCTTTGGCCATAAATTCTATGAAACAGTTATTGCTTACAGTCTTTCTAATGGAAAAAAAAAAATGGAGAACGCTCCTGTCTTAGTGGACAAGCAGTGTGCTCACAGTGGTTTTCAAAGCTGGAGACACATGGCATGGATCAGCAGTACAGTCACCGTCTCACCTTAATGCTTAGCTGACAGTAGGACTGATCAACGTATTTATTTACAGTTCATAGGCTATTTGGAAGCTGTGAAGAGTTTTTAATAATGCTAAACTCACTAAAAACAACATACTAACATTCAATTCTTATGTTGTTAAGGTTTTTTTCTGTGTCTGTTCCAGTAATTTTTTGTAGCTGTGTATAAGAGGAAAGCAGGATAGATTTTCTAAAACCTTAGAGTTAGGATGTGTAAATTAAAAGCAAATAATATTGCTTGCTTGTTTGGAAAATCATTTTGACTTTCTGTTGCTACTGTGGCTCTTCGACGTGAAGGAGATCCTTTAATGATTTCAGTGATGTCAGACTGAGCAGCTGTAATCATGAGTGGTGAAGCTTACTCCTTCACAAGCAGAAGGCTTTCTCAATGGGCCTCTCTAAGGAGAAATGCTCAGGCAGCTTTTAAACTGCAGCTGCAACAGGCAGTGACAACTGTCTTGCCAGAGTGGAAGTGAAGCTCGGGGCAGGCTGCAAGGTCTGCGCAAGAAACAAGGTGAACGAATCTGTATTCGGGATGGTGACTTACTGAAAAGAAAACAAATATGGCCTAGCAAGAAAGAAAAAGCTCTTATTTTATTGTGAATAAGACCAATAACTGAATATAAACCTGAATATAGTTGTAGGGGCCCAAGATTTTGCAGAATGTGGCACAGTGCTGTTGTGATCTGGAAATAACCTTGTCTGTGCAAGGCTGAAGGCTGTGGTGGTAAGAATAGCAGCCTTAATTTGATGAAGAGAGCAGTTCGCCTTACAGGGTTAAATAGAAAAAAAGCAGTGTGTGTCCAAATCCAATTAAATTAACTTTTTCTGGTCAGAAGCATATGTGCTATGTATCTTACAGAAAAAAAAAAAAAAAAAGAAAGCTATTCATGTTGCATTAGATCCAGAATATATTCTTGTTCTACATCTTTACTCTGAACATTTCTGCTGAAGTATGAGAAGTGAGAAAGTTTTATCTTGGAACAAAGGTACAAAAGCGGGCCTGTTGTAAGAGGATCTCCTAGTAGTATAAAATTAGAGAGCAAAGGTCCGTGTCTTTGTGCTACAAGATCTGATTCAGACCACTTGTAGGGCCTGTATGGAAACTGTGCGGCAGACATATTTTCAGTGTAGTAATGTAGTTAAGAATTACATCTCTTGTTTTCTGTATGAGAAGATAGTCCACGATGCTGAACTGAAAAGAAAGTCTCAACCAAATCTAATGAAACAGGACTTAGAATAGTGGCCAGAGCCTCCAAGGAGGGTAGATGCTTGCTCCCCATTTTTAGCATAAGGCTCACCCTCGTACTGTCAGGATCCTGGAATAAATCTACTAACTTCTTCCAAAGCCAGTGATATTACAGATTCCTCTTAAATGCTCCAAATCCAGGAACCAGGTTTGAGATTATTGATAACTTCTCTGTAGTGTTTCTGCTAGTCTTTCATAATTTCAATACAGAAAGACTCAACTTTCAAAGATGGACAAAAGCTTTGTAGAAAAGAGATTCCCAGGTATGACGGTACTGATTGGGTGCAAGTGCCTTGCAAAACCCCACTCTCTGTACTCTGTCAGGCAGTGCAATTTGCTGCATTCAGTCACATCAGAAATTAAGTTGAGAAACATTGATTTGGAGCATTCAACCCTGCAGCAGAACTAACAAAGTCACTGTTTTGTTTTGGTTTTGTTTGTTTTTTTTTTTCCTTCAGCAAGCCTGTGCCTGCTGCATTGCATGCAAGGTCTGAAATCCATGTAATCTCTGATTGCCTTGTCATCATTCATTTAGCTCTGAAACAAGACTTGTAAGGCATTAACAAGATTAACCTCTTTTCCCAACATCTTTTCTGTGGTTGAGACTTAAGACTTGGGGCAGAAAATTGTGTCCTGAACTCTTACAACTAATTCTTTGCTTTTTTTCTTGGATGTGTCTTAATATTTTTCTCAGCATACTCAAGGTTTCTCAACAGCAAGGTTTACAGATGCTACATTGCCTTTACAAAGGTATTGTGGAGGAGATTTGTCTAGGGATCCAGAACACAAAGTGCGCTTATTTTGAAGTCACATGAACAGCCCATAAACTTAATGAACTAGAGCTTTTGACTACAAGAAACCGCATGTGTCTTATGTTTTGAGATCAAAGAAATAGTGTCTGTAACTCAATTTTAATGTATAGTTATGTATTTTACTTGGTCTTTACAGATCTGGAGGACTTTTTCTCCTTGCTTCCAAATTTCGTTAGCTGTTTATTACCCTCGGAAACATGGCAAATCTGCCTGAAGTTAGGGGGAGTTCTGTAACTAAATGTTACAGTTATGATTGGCTGAGATAACGAATGTTGGTGGTCTTGGATACAAAGGTTTCTGATGTACAGTCATTTTAGGTTGGTGATGCAGCCAAATAGGTTTGACCTTTATTGTCTTTATATCACATTAGCATCCAGAAGCCCCCAAGATCGTTGCTCTGTTTTGCTAGGTGGTTATAGCATATTATGTAAGCTAGTTCTGAACCCTCTGGAATTTGGTATAAACAAATACATTTAGGAGAAAATGGTCTTCCGGGTGCAGAAACAGGTGTCAGTAGGCTTGGGCAAGTTACAGCTGGGAACAGAGTACGAACCTCTCAACTCTCACAGCCATGCCAAAACTCCCGAGTTTGTTCTTTCCTGCAACGAGGGATGACTTGTGTGGATGCGTCGTGCTTTTTGGTTTAGAATTCACGTCATAGCTTAGTGTCTGTCAGCTGCACATCAGCTTGAGTAGAGACTTGCTGGAAAATTGAGAAACGTTTGGTTGCCCTGCTGTTCATAAAAATTGTATCAGTACAATGAATGTATCACAGCTTTCTTGACATTTATTTAAAATACAGGTCATCCGATACTCCATTAATCTACCTCTCTGCCCTTACTGCTATTGTATCCCACCTAAAGCAAAATTAGTCAGTTGTTTGTAGAAGGACTGAAATAATTACCCCCTTGTTTGATGCTGGCACAACCAGAGCGCTGTGTGTTACCAGAAGCACTTACTTAACCTGCTTTGAAACTTTCCACCTTCCTTTATGTTAAATTTAACCTCAGCTTCCATCCTTTCCCTTCCTTGCAACTTTCAAAAATGACTGTGTCAAGTTTTAGATCTGATTTCCCCGTGTGTTTCTATAAACTGTCCCTTTATCATGTTGCAGGCTAGGAGGATCACAGTGTACCAGGCTTTTTTTCTGTACTTTATTTTCAGCTGTGAATTCAGTGCTTTGTTCCTTTTCTGAGTAATGCAACGCAGTTTGTTTGATCTAGATTATTCAGAGAGGTTGTAACTTCTCATTCAAATTGTATGCCATTTGTTCTTAAATACTGTAAACAGCACATCAACCTAATAAGCTGGAGTTGTTTCCCTTTCCCATTTCATTGCCCTGCAGAGTTGGTATCTCCTGATACATATACAAAATAGTTCTGAAAGTGTTAGTAAAATGACCACAAGATTAATGAGCTTTTAATTCCACATTGTGTTTTCCTGTAGGCAAATGCCAGCAATTTAAAGAATTTCCTCTCAGCTGTGAGACTGGCTCACCAAGGCACCGACATAGGAGCTCTCCCTCTCTCAACTTTGGTACCAGCGAAGAACTCGGAAGTTGAAAAACCTAAGACAAAAATGATCATAACTTCAAGAAGGGACTATCCTATCACCAAAACCTTTCCTTGCTCCCTCGAACATCTCCAAACCTCGTACTGCAGACTTGCTCGGATCGACATGCGTGTGCTTTGCTTGAAGAAACTCCGAAAACTAGACCTGAGTCATAATCATATTAAGCAGCTGCCAGCTACTATTGGTGACCTGATCTGTCTTCAGGAGCTTGATTTGCACAACAATCACCTGGAGTCATTCAGTGGGGCTCTGTGCAACTCCACTCTTCAGAAATCTCTTCAGTTCTTGGACCTCAGCCAAAACAAAATTAAAGCACTTCCAATTCAGTTTTGCCAGCTGCGAGAACTCATTAATTTAAAGCTCGATGACAATGTGTTGATTAGGTTGCCATTCAAGATTGGCCAGTTAGATCATCTACGCTTTCTGTCAGCAGCTCGAAACAAACTTCCTTTCTTGCCCAGTGATTTTAGGAAACTCTGTCTTGAGAAATTGGATCTCTTTGGAAATCCTTTTGAACAGCCTAATCCACTTGTTCCCAATATACAACTGAAAATACCATTGACTTTATTAGAGTGTGCTGCAAGAGCAACCATAAATTACAGGTAAGAGGTAGCATGATGGGTACACATTGCACATACTCCGTTTCAAACCTGTTGAGTCTAAACTTTCCTAACTTGGTTTGTTTCCTGTCTCTTCACCTATTAAAAATCATAAGGTTGAAGTTGATTTGAATTCCAGTTGTTAAATCATCCCTTTGTTATACAGGATAACGCAGTAAGGTGACTTGGAAGCATTTAGAGAAAGCTACATGTTGAAATGTTTTTACCCACAAAATGAGGCACTGTAACAGAATAATTCTTGTCCAGCCATAGGAAAATAGAATCGGTTCTACAGCCTGAACCGCTTCTGGCATTTGGTATTGAGGAGCTTACGTTCCAGTGGATTTTGAGGCCTGGATCATATTTTGCATCGGGCTTTAGCTTGGAAATTGCTTTCCAAGATGGTTGCCCTTCATCTTGTGCTTGCTTAAAGTACAGCAGGACTATGTGCAACACCCATTAGCCTGTCACTATCCCTTCCCGTGCGAGAATAGCGTGTTGGCAAAAGGGTATGTTCTACCATACAGCTCCTAGGACAGACATGGCATGGTCTGCCTCTGCTTGAGATGGGACCTTACCCAAGCTGAGTGGTGTGAGCTGAAGGTACCGAGAGGCGGCTTCTCGGGGGGCGAATGTCACGCTGGAGTTGGCGTTACCTCCTGCCAGCTTCTCCCCACCTCAGGTTTTCCTTGAGCTGTGATTTCCTTTGGTGTTGGAGTAAGGGTGGTCTGTCTTACACAGAGAAGCTCAGTTCTGATGTAACTTTAAAATTATTATTTCACCAAGTAAACATCATCCTTGCCAGGCTGCTGTTATCAGTTTTCTCTGCTTCCCCCACGCCGCTGACCTAGCTCTGCCTGCGTGCCCCTGCCTGTGAGCCTGCCGCTACCAGCTGCTGCTCCTCCCACCCTGTTCTGGCTGGAAAGGGAGCAAGAAGGTGGAAAGGAGTCATGAGTACAGAAAGGGGGGCGAGAGACAGACCTGAAGTGTTCCTAATCTACATTCTGTGCCCTTTCCTGCCTTGAGGGTGGGGAGCATCCCATAAACCTGGGTTAATTGCTCAGGAGTCTGGGCTAAAGGTGGCCACAGGCATGCGGGGCACACCCTGGAAATGAGCTGAGCAACCAAATGTTCTACTTCAAATCTTATCCACTTCTGACCTTGCTGATTTTATTATAGTAATTAAATTCCACGTGTTTCCTTTCCCCACTTTATAGATATATCAGTAGTTTTGATATAAATATTATTAAGGCATGGGGGTTTTTTCTAGAGAATATGATCCCTCAACACTGGTCAGATTTTAGTGCTCAGTTACACTACCAGAGTGCCTAAGGATATCTAGTCATTAATGCAGCCCCTGGCCCCTTACAGCAGGCTTTAAGAAAATGGCACCACACAGAACTAAAAAGGCTTTCTGCTCCAGGAGTCTCAGTGAGACAAGGGGCAATGGAAACAGTCCCCTTGCCCACAGATCTGTGATTATTAGGAGACAGCATTGGTCAGAGTGGTCCAGATCATCTTAAATGGAAAAAAAAAAAAAAATCTAACAAGTGGGCAACAGACATTCTGTCTGACATTCACTAGAGGCAAGAATTAACAATGAGAAACAGGAGTGATGATGGGCTGTAAAAACCTTGAGAAAGGAAGAAAACAGAAGGAGGGAAGATATGAAAGCAAATGTTTGGAAATCAGTCTTTGTAGTGGCATTCCGGGCAAGTACCAGAACTGTGCTTAAGCTTTTCCTGACCGGAAAAAGGGATGTCCTAAATTGAGGTGGTGAAAAAAAAAAAAAAACCAACAAAAAAACAAACCACAGGAGGCTTAGCTATGAGAATGATGGTATGTAGAAAGAATTGGGAATATGTAGGTGTAGTCAGGATGTGAGTCAGTGAGACCTAGTCTGTGAGTGATACCCACACTTTGAGGTTAACTCACCAGAGTACTTCAGGGAAGTTAGTTATTTTATACCCCAAACACAATGCCACTCTGCTGCAAATTTAAAAAGAGGTAATTCTTGTTCCTGTCTCTGGATGTCATTATTGACATGATGGGCGAAAAGAGCTGTATATCAGGAGAACCTTAATTTATCATCTGCAGTGAAGTACTACTGTAAAAAGGCTCATTTTATCTCCTGTTTCCTCTGGATACAGTGTTTTTACACTACTACCACTTAGAGAGTGAGGAGTAAATGGTGGGTGCTTTGTCAGGCCAGGATGAAATACAGTGATCTTCCTGGCTAACGTGAGGGAAGAGCAGGTATGCGCCCCGTTGTCTTATTATTCTTAATCATCTTTTTAATTTTCTAATTCTCTATCGCAGTGATACAGGGTGTTACGATTTGTGTGAAAACTCCCTGGTTCTTGTTGCAGCATCTTCCGGAGCTCAGGCCCTTGTTACTTCGGGGTCAGTAACACAGTTGCATATTTTTAGTGGCTGTCTTGAAAAGCGGCGTTTAATTACTAACTAGTCCAATACTGCAAGTGGCAAAATTTCAGACTTGCCTTGTCTGTGATCTCAGAGAGGCGTTTCTTCCAACTGGTGCATATGGCATGTCACGGTGTTTGAGTGACATTGGTTAATTTTGTAGTGAATTCACACTCACTCTTCTTGTTCAACAGAATCCCTTATGGTTGTCATCTCCTTCCTTCTCACCTTTGTGAAGATCTGGAAGTGGCTAAAACATGCCAGTGCGGAAGCGCCTGTCTGAGCAGCTTCGTTCAGATCACGGTGACCATGAATCTCCATCACGTAGCTCACACCGTGGTCCTCGTGGATAACATGGGAGGTACGGAAGCACCAGTCATCTGCTACTTCTGTTCTCTAGACTGCTACTCCCAGTTCCTGGATAGGTACCCGCAGAGTAATGGGTGACCGTTACCGGGCGCAAAAGCTCTGCCTGACGTTCTGTCCGCTGACGGAGGAGCCTGAAATTGCTTTCTGCTTGTTACCCACTCGTGCTGTCGTAGGGCGTTCGCTGCAGAAAGCAAACGTCAGTCTTGCAGTGAGGGGGCACTGTCAGCCCGAGCCGGCGGCCTGACTGTTCCTCCACCACTAGAATCTCTCTCTGGTTGGAATAAAAAGCGATGGCTTAGCTTGATTCTTCCTTAGAATGTATTTTGCTTTCTTTGACCTATTACTATGGCTCTGTTCGGAGTATCACAACAGTTTTCTTTGTTCCGTGTCGTAAGTGGTTTCTTGCTAGGAGAAGGAAGGTGAGCTTGTATCAATCTGCTTTGCTTGCTTACACTCGAGGCTCTGAACTCTGCCTGCAGAAGATGACTGTGTTGGCTTTATCACTGGACCGGACTCTTCCCGATTTGTTTACTGTAGAGCAACTTGGGCTGCTGTGAGGAGGAAGCATGGTGTGAGCAGTTCCAAACCGGTCGTGTCATTCCAGGTGCTTCTTTTTAAAAAGTTCTGTTACAGCATTTTCACTTCAAGCAGGGACCAGCGTTGCTGGGTTTTTACCAGAACAAATGGTTTTGGTTTTATCTCTTTGTGATACAAGTAATGTGTTTTTCTAAATACGTGACCTAAACTTTGTTTCTTAACTCTCACGTTTAAAAGGTTCTTGAATTGTTCACTGTGTCAATTTATTAAATTTTGAAACCCTTCGACGTACACGTGAATTGTGTTTTCTCTAATGAGCTTTTCATCCAGTGTATTCTAGGGATTGGCTCCGGGCCTTTTTCCTGGTGAAGAGACTTAAATACTTGAGAGCATCCACTCACCCTTATTATTTCAGGTCTTGTCAGCCGGTCCATGGCTGCGGTATTGAAACACCACGGAACAAAAAGTCCCCTGAGAAGTCTTTAGTCACCCCACGCCCTGGAACGCGTGATGGCTCGGGGAGAGCACGTTACGCTGTTGTTTTTGAAGCGGTATTGACTGCCTGGGAGGGAACCGCACATTTTGCATCTCTCCAGGTCACAGATAAATAGTTACATGTAGTTTGCATGGGACAACAAGCTGTCCGTAGGTACCGAGTGCGGAACTGATCCAGGCTGGGCCTCAGGTGACGGCGAAACGCGGCGTAGAGCGCGAGGAGCGGCCCGAGAGGCGGCAGCGGGCTTTGGAAGAATGTCCTGGCTTGCAGGTATCACTTAACGTCCCCCGCGCGAGCACAACCTTCATCCACATTTTAAAAATCATCGGTTTCAAACTCTTTACTAATCTGAGACGTTCGCAGCAGAAATAAATACCGAAGCATGCCTACTGAGGGGCTTTGCTCTGACAAGGCCAAGACTCATCTTCCTGAGGAAGAGAAACCTTTATTTTAGAAATACTGAGCGTCATTAAAATTTTCTGCAAATGTCAAAATAACCTGACTGTGTTCTTTTCACACAGTATTTGTAAAACAGTAGCTTCGAAGCAACTACAGGAAGATTTAGATGAATCATTCCTTACGTATTGCTCTTCAACTACAGAGAACTTGTGAAGGAGGCACACAAGTGTGCCTGTTTACCTCAACACCGATCTCTGGGAAGCGCTGCAGAGCTCACCCTGGGAGGTTTTAAATAGTCATATGCTAATGCTGTTGTAAAGGGAGGGAGATCTGATTGCAGCAGCCTAAAGATTACTCATTTGGAAAAATACCTCTTAGGTGGAGTGCATGATTAAGAGGAGGGAAGTGGAGTAGACACAGAAATTTGGCCTCCCGTGGGACTCCTCTGGAATTTTAGATGCAGATGTGTGGGTGGCGGTGCAGTGGCCGGAGGAGGAAACGGCACCTGCGTGGCCGAGGCTGCCACGATGGCTGGGGCTGGGAAATCCTGGCCGAGCCCTGCCACGCCGGGAGAAGGGACCAGCTGGGGGGTTACAGGCCAGCGGGAGGAGGAGCGCAACCTCTCCGCCTGAAAAGGAAGCTCTCGGCTGTGGGAAAGGGCTTTTTGTACGGTGACAGCTCTGCGAGTCCTGCTGGGTCGTCTGAAATCCCACGCGTGCACACCGGGCTGCCGTTCCCTCCGAAGCGAGTGTCAGCCCCAAAACCGACCCGGCTTCCTCGAATCCTGCCAGCGCGGCAGCCGCCGCGGCGGGCGGGAGGTTCTGCAGCGGTTTTTGCGTTGCCGCCGGAGCCCCTTCGAGCGACGCAGCGACGTGCCGGCATCGTGCCGTCTCCGCGGGGGTCGGATGAGCGGCGGAGCTGTCCCAGCGCCCTGCTTTCCCACCTCCCGACACGAGGTGAAAAGGGAAGCCTTGCGTAGCCACGCAGCGGGGTGGGCAATACCCCCCAGCTTCCCTTGGGAACCCGCTCCGGCCGACTTCATTTTCTTCCCTGTCTTGCAACCCCCCCCCCTGCAAACAAGCTCCTTCGGCGCCGCACAGCGCTTGGCTCGGTGGGCTGCAGCTCTCCCACCGCGGCTCCGTCCGAGGTGCTGGAGGAGGGTGTCGGGGTTCCACTCGGGCTGGCCGGGGCGGCTGCCGCAGCGCTCCGTGCCTGCGCTCGGCCGAGCCGGCGCTGCCTCCCGGCAGCCAGCCAGGAGGTGGCGAAGGAGCCAAGAGCCGAAGCTCCTTCAGAGTTGGGGAAAGGCAAAGCACAAACCGCTCCTTTCCGGGCTCTCTTCTCCAGCGGTTTTCCTTGCCCTCCAGCAAGACAACCGCAGCGTTCCTCAAATCGCCGCCTGCTCCTTTGGGGAAAAGGCCGGCTGGCGGGTGCGGACGCGGGGGGGTAGGCAGCGAAAAATAGGCACCAGTTCTGTCGTTTGATACTGCCGGCGCAGGAAGGAGCGTGCGTGACCCAGCTAAGGCTTTTTGCAGAGAAAAGGACTGGGCAAAAATCGTTCTCATAAAAAAATATATATATTTTACAGCACTTACCGTACGTGTGGGGAACTCTGTCGGGCCACTTATGTCGTGTTTTCTATTTGTAGCGACGCGGTCTGGTGGAATCAAACCGACGTCCTTGCAGAGAGCAGCCTCTCTCTTTTCAGGAGCGCTCTTTTTTTAAACGCCTCTCTTGAAAACCACCGGGTCGGTGGGTGATTAGAAGCAACCTGCAGAGTTAGGCAAAGCTTAGCTGGGTCAGCAAAGGTCAAGCTGTGAAACCGCCATTAAAAATGCGTCCTAACCCGAGGAGCATCGCGCCGGTCCCTTCTGTTAAACGTTGTGCCCACGACCGTTGACGTTCCCCTCAGGCGTCGGCGACTCGAGTAGCGCGGGGCTTAGTCTCGTCGGGATAAAGCCACCGCCGCTGGCTCTCGCCGGGGATTTGAGGACGCGGTTTAATGCTTTTAAACGCAACTGAAACCTGCCCTCACCCGCCTCATTTCTGGGGAAAAAAAAAGCCTTGATGGCAGATGCCGGTGCGGTAACCCCCGAAAGCTGCTGCGAGCTGGGCTGGCAGCACTTGGGATCGTTCTTTAATTGGCCCGATCTGGCTGCGCCGCTGCCCCTCGGCGTTAACCACGCGATCCTCTCCGCGTTTATCCGAACGTCGTGGCTGGCGGGGAAACTCGTACGCGGCGGGACGGTGGTTCGGTTGCCGGAGTTTTACCCACGGCTGTGGGGAGGCTGCCTTGGGTGGGGAGGGGAATGCTTCAAATGAGGATTGATGTTACCCCAGAGTGACAAAACAAACCTCCCCCCAGCCCTGGGGGTAGCGGCGCTGCCAGGCGCGGGGGGGGGGGGGGGGGGGGGGGGGGGGGGGAGGAGGAGGAGGAGGAGGAGGAGGAAGCATGCTCCCTCCCCAGAACGGTGCGAGGGACGAGGCGTCGCAGCGTGGGCACCCGCGTTTGCCCCCTTTTCCTGTATTTTTGTAATTTTAGACTTGTTACAGTTTATTCTTCTAATGCTATGAATGTCGTCTTAGATTCTTGTAATTCTGGAATTATGTCTTATTCTTGCAATTTGAGAATTATTTTACCTTAGTCTTGCAGTCCTAGAAAGATTTTCTTGCATTCTTGCTACTTGATAATTATTTTACCTTAATCTTGCAATTCTAGAAAGATTCTCTTGCATTCTTGCAATTCTAGACTTATTTTACCCTAATCTTGCAATTCTAGAAAGATTTTCTTGCATTCTTGTGATTTGATAATTATTTTGCCTTAATCTTGCAATTCTATTTTCTTGTGTTCTTTCAATTCTAGAATTATTTTACCTTAGTCTTTCAATTCTAGAAGGAGTGTGGGGTGTTTTTTTCCGTTCTTGCTGCTCTAGAAGTATTCTACCTTATTCTTGCAATTCTAGAAATATTTTCTTGCATTCTTGCAGATCTAGAATTCTTTTCCTCGTATACCTTATTATTGCAAATGTAGAATAAATTCATTCGTGCAATTCTAGATTTTCCTTGTACATATTATTATTGGAAATGTAGAATAAATTTATTCTCGCAATTCTCTCATTACTTTATCTCAGTCTCACTATCCCAGAATTAACTTCTTGCCATTCTAGAATTCATTTCTTCTTGCAATTTCAGAGTGACTTTATTATCTTATCCTTTGAAATCTGGAATGATTTTACCTCATTCTTGCACTCCTAGAATTCTTTTTTTTTTTACCCCTTGCCATTCCGATTTTCTCGTGTTCTCGCGAATCTAGAATTGTTTGCTCTTATCGTCTTTCATTCTTGCAAATCCCGGCTGATTGCCTTATCTCGTCCTTGCAATTCGGGCACTATTTTATCTCACTCCTCCAACCCCCGGCGGATTCTCTCCCCCGTCTCCCCCGCCCTGATTACCCCCCGCCCCAATTACTGCCGGCCAATGGCGGCGCAGCCCCGCGGGGGTGGGGGGGGGGGGTGCCCTCCCCCCCCACACACACACCCCGACGGAAGCGGCGATGAGTGACGGCGCCGGCGGCCAATCGAAGAGCGGCGGCCGCCGCGCCGGCGGCCAATGGAGGGCGGCGACGTGGGCGCGTGGGGCGGCGGCGGCGCGCGCGCGCTGCCGGCGGGGGGGAGCGGCGGCGGCGGCGGCGGCGGCGGCGGGAGGGCGGCGGGGAGCGGCGGCCGCCGCCGCCGGGAAGGATGCGGCTGCGGATCTACAAGCGGAAGGTGTTGCTGCTGGCGCTGGCGCTGGCGCTGTGCGCGCTGGCGCTGTGGGGAACCGGCGGCGGCGGCGGGCGGAGGCGGCAGCAGCAGCAGCAGCAGCAGCAGCGGGGCGGTCCCGGTACCACCGGGGAACCGCCGCGGGTCAGCGAACCGCCGCCTCGCCGCTCCGCCGCCAACGCCTCGGCCTCGCCTCCGCTCCCCGAGAACGGGACGCTGAGTTACCGCTCGCTCGTTTACCGCCTGAACTTCGACCAGCCGGTGCGGAACGCCGGGCGCTTCCCGGTGCGGGCCGCCGCCGACGTGGTGCTGGTGGTGCAGGTGCACGACCGGGCCGAGCACCTGCGGCTGCTGCTGGAGTCGCTGCGGCGGGCGGCGGGAGTGGAGAACGTGCTGCTGGTGCTGAGCCACGACCTGTGGGCCGAGGAGCTCAACCGGCTGGCGGCACGCGTGGACTTCTGCCCCGTCCTGCAGGTTTTCTTCCCCTTCAGCATCCAGCTTTACCCCCGCGAGTTCCCCGGCCACGACCCCCGCGACTGCCCCCGCGACGTGGGCAAGGCGGCGGCCCTGCGCCTCGGCTGCATCAACGCCGAGTACCCCGACTCCTTCGGGCACTACCGCGAAGCTCGCTTCTCCCAGACCAAGCACCACTGGTGGTGGAAGCTGCATTTCGTCTGGGAGCGGGTGCGGGCGCTGCGGGAGCACGCCGGGCCCGTCCTCTTCTTGGAGGAGGACCACTACCTGGCGCCCGATTTCTACCACGTCCTCAAAAAGCTCTGGGCCCTGCGCGAACGGGAGTGCCCCGAGTGCCAGATCGTCTCCCTGGGCACCTACAGCCCCGTCCGCGGCGGCTTCGCCGGCCGCGCCGACAAGGTGGAGATGAAGACGTGGAAGTCCACCGAGCACAACATGGGCATGGCCTTCGGCAGAGACACCTACCAGAAGCTCATCGAGTGCACGGACGCCTTCTGCACCTACGATGACTACAACTGGGACTGGACTCTGCAGCACTTGACTGTCTCTTGTCTTCCAAAGTTCTGGAAAGTGCTGGTTCCCGAAATCCCCAGGATTTTTCACACGGGGGACTGTGGCATGCACCACAAGAAATCCTGCAGACCGTCCACCCAGAGTGCCAAAATCGACTCTCTCTTGAACAGCAACCAACAGTACCTGTTTCCCGAAACGATGAGTGTCAGTAAAAGGTACTCCATGGCCCCCCTTTCCCCTCATGTGAAAAACGGAGGGTGGGGAGATATTAGGGACCACGAACTCTGTAAAAGTTACCGCAGACTGCAGTGAGGATCCTTCTCGCAGCCTTTTTCTTTTTGAGTTGTCCCGTACTGTCTTTTACAGGCACACACATGTATAAAAAGCATTTATGAGTTGGTTTCTGCTTTAATATGAATAAACATTCTTGTTAAAGGTGTCCCAAAATAGTAATCTTTCATGTTCGGCAACCACGTTTTGCAAACGGGTTACTCGCTGCTGCCGGGCTGCTCAGGCGCAGAAAGTGACCTGCTGCTGCGTTTACTGGGAGGAGGAAGAGGAGGAAATTTGTATTTAAACGCATCTTTTCTGGTGCTTACAGCGCTCTGGTGTGGGGCTTTTCCCCCATCCAGGGCAGGGGGGGTGAGGTGGCCTTCGCACGCCGGCGGTACCGGCACCTCACGCCCGATACCTGCGTTTGGTTGCGATGTCTTGATGAATATATGAAGGAAAACAAACAAGCAAACAAACAAAAAGTCATTGGTTTTACTACGATGTAGATAAATATACGATTTCTTTTTTAGTTCTGCCAAAATAAAATTCAGTTGTTTTGTAATACCAGAGAAGTTCTTGATTCTCACAAAAAGATGATGTCATCTCGTGTTGCTAGAAAGAAAGTCAGGACAGGAAGGGGTGGGGGGGGGGGGTTGGTGTCTCATCTTTAATCCCGAGGGCTGAACACATGCCAGCACCCATTCTAGTAGTGTGCATTTAGCTTCATTAAATTTTTAATGATACTCACTAATTGAAGCAGAATAGAGTAACAAATGCGTGGCACAACACCTCTTTTGTTTGGATCAAAAAAAAAAAAAAAAAAAAAGTTCGCTTTCAAATTAGTCAGCTGTGTAAAGCAACCGGTAAAAAAATACTGCTGTGTAATGGCAACGCGCTGAACTGGAGCTGAAAGCCCCCAACGGCAGAGCGGAGCCGTCCGCTCACATGGAACGCTCCCTCCCCTGGTGTAAGCCTAACGGTCCGGCTGCTTTACCAGCACGGCGCTTTGAAGCACCGCGGGCAGCAGCAGCACAGAAACAGCTTTTGTAGACCAGCAAAGTATATTAGAGGAAGAAAACACTACGCTAAGGTGACAGACCTGAAATGTTTAGAGGGAGCTTTTATACCAAGATATTTGGGGGCGGGGGGGGGGGGGGGAAAGCGTTTTTTTTAATTAAAGAAAATGGAGTTGGTGCTCTTACGACTCTGGGTACAGCAGTTCCTTTGAACGGAAGGGCATGGAGCAGGGCTCTCCTTTTACCACAGTTTGTCACCTACTTTATGGGTTGTGAATATATCGGTTTAATGTTCATTTGAGAGCGTGCCAAGTTTTGTGAAATCCTGTAAGTAGCGTGCAGATGTTTATTTTGACCGCACTAAGATGCTCTTTTTCTCCAGGGGGTAATTTAACTGCCATGATTTTGTACCAGCTTTGGTACTTGCTCCAGTTTCATCGTTTCAGAGAGTCAGGGCTGATGCTTGAAAAAGCTCTGCCAGCTGTGGCAGCTGCTTCCACTGAAGTTACAGAAGTAAAGCTCACACCCCGTACCCCCGCTGCAAGTGCCCGCGTTTTGACAGGGAAATGTAAGAGTAATTCCAGAGCAGTTGTGAAACAAGTCAAATTTAACTTTCTTCTAAAGCACGTTGCGTCTTGTACAGCTCAAAAGAAAACAGAAGTTATTTCTGAAGCAGTGAGAAAGGGAACTGAAAGTTTATTGTTGGATACGTTTTTTTGGTTGTGGCACTTCAGAGAGGTGAACCAGCAAAGAGCCTGCTTGAAGCTCATGGGGAACGGTTTTTGAAAAGTAAATCTAATCTGGATAAAATGAATCCATTTTACAAATTGGAAATACTTAATAGCAGACGCGCAACAAGAGAGGATGTTTTTATTGTGCAATTGAATTTGTTCAGCTGACAGACTGGGGGATGTCTGGATGCTGCGGATCTGAAGTAATGTGCCAGGATGGACTACATGGTCTAAATGTTGATTATTTCTAGGAGACTAATTAGAACTTCTCTGTGTAATTAGAAATTTAATTTGATTACTAAAATCACTAAAAAAAAAAAAAAACCACAACACTGCAAGTCAAATCCTGCAGTTATCACAAAATGAAAGGTTTGAAAAATGGTGAATGCTGCTCTTTTCTAGGTGGACTAAACACAGCAATTCCCGAGGGAGCCATCAGAAGCAGGATATCTACAAATGCTGCCAGTAATGTAGCAAGAGCCTAAGAAAGTTGTGTAAACAATAATGATACATTTTCTTCCAGGAGTTCACATTTACCTTTAACTGCGTCTCTCTTGTACGTAAAACTATTTCAACCCGTACGTGTGATTAGAAAACTCAGACCTATTAACTTCAAAAATGAACAAAAAAAATAAGTATTCTATGTAAACAGAACAGTTTCAGCGGGAACCCGTGTTCTGCTCGAAGCCCTGAAGTCATAAACCAGCACGTGGAAGCCACGCTAAGCATCAAACGGCAGAAAGAAATCCTCAAATACTTCAACTAGTCCAATTCATACAGCAAAGAACTCTGAAACGCGACGGGGCAGCGCGTTACGTGATCCCCAACGACCCGCACGCTCCCGTCCCGCGTGTTCACTTCTTGCAGGAGCGGGGGGCCCGCTGGGCTGTCGGGGCTCCCCCGGGCCCACCCTGCAGGCGCAGCCGCCTCGCCCCCTCCCGCTCTCGCCGGCCGGTGCAGCCGAAGGGCCGCGCGGTGCCCAGAGTCTGCGGGCAGGGCCGCCTCGCCTCCCGCCACAGCACTTTCTGAATCTGGTTCCCTTCTCTTAGATTCGCCAGGAACCGCTGAACTGGTGTCAGAAGGTTCACGCTGCAAACAATGGTGTGAACTACAACCTACTTTTCCTATTGTTTCAGCTGTTACGAGAGACGTGGAAGTTTTGTTGGTTTCTGTAGCGCGTTCTCCTTCGACTGGGTCAGCTGCAGTACGGTTTGTTTCTGCCTTTGTTGGGGGGTAGTTGCCGTTCCTCTCTTCAGCGAGATCTCCCCCTGCGCCGCGTAGTGTTCCTTCTTTTCCATCCCATTCAGACTGGGCTGCGTCCTGCGGCTGTCGAGAAAATAAACGAATTGTTTTATAGTTGAAACAGACTGGGCACGCAAAACTGCCGTGAAAAAAAAAGGCCAAGACACTTGTTTCTCCAACATCTACTTCCAGAAAGCCAAGTCGGTAGGGTGCTGAGGTTTTCCTGGTCTCCTAGGGCGGGAGGGAGTGAGTGGCAGGGAGGTCTTTTGCCTCCCCAGGGTTTCCTCTGCGATAGGAAACGCTGCTGGGCAGCTGCCAAGCGGCCGCAGCCTCCGTCACAATTAACAGCAGCCAAGACGGGCGAGTCGCCACACCCAGGCTGTTTTCTAGAACTCGGGGGCCACAAAATCAGCCAAAGGATCTAAACTTTCATTGCAAGTGTGTTTGAACCTTGCAGTTAGGGAAATCACCGTCCTGTCCTAGGTGTAACTGGTGAGCGAGCTGTCTTTCTCAATCGGCCTGAGTTAATCCAGGAATTCCTGCAGTTTGCCTCAGAGAGCATGAACTGAGACCCGGTGCTGTCTAAATAGTAGTTACCCAATTTCACCATTAGCTATTGACTGCTTTAGCAAAAACCAGCTGGTAACTCGTATGTCCCTATCAGTGGACAGTCGGGATCAGGCAGGCATCTGTCCGGGAGCAGCTGGATTCATGGATTCAAAGACTGAGTCGCTCTCCCACGCACCCAGCTCTCTCTGACCCCAAAGCTGCTGCTCACTCCAAGAAACAAAAGAAACACTACTAACTCCTCCTCAGCCCTGGATGATTCTCCCCCATGAAAGTGTGATGATTTAAGATATCTTAACTTCCCCTTCTTAGGTACCAAAACATACACATCTGGTCTCCAACAATTTTAATTTCAGGTTTTTACGCACAATCCACACTAGCTGTAAAAGTTAAGCCTGTCAAGTAATGCTGGAGCCACTGCTGGAGTCCTCCAGCTTAGTCCCAGAGGTCGCATGCTTCATCTGAATTTGCTTTCCAGGAAGCCATCTACACATTAACTATATCTGCAGTCTCCAGTTTACCGTCATGGAAGTAACCTGATTGTCCCTGCATATTATCTTTCCTTTAAGAGAAGTTTTAAATTCATTTCTGATACAGCATCTACCAAGGAATCCCAGTCGATGTGGGGGGGTTTACCTCACATCTTCCTCTTTACAAAACTAATGTTTTGTTTTATTCATCTGTCCATCTCCTATTTTGCAAAGAGGGGTCATTTTAATCCCGTGGCGGACTTCAGAAATGGACTGCCTTGCATCTTTTACGTAGACAGGCTGACTGAAGATGAAGGGTAGCCTGAATGAGGCCTTAAACTCTGCAAGTAATGCATGTGGGACCAGTGTTTAAGATTAATAGTCCCACATTAAGTTATCTAAACAATAGGAAACCACCAAGCATTCAAAGCTCACCTCTGGACCAAATACCTGGAAAGGCGTCTGTGCAAAAGACAGCTCCAGCACATGAGCCCAAACTCTTGGGTATTTTGAAGGACGTGGATTATTCACTTCTTTATTTCCACTTTAAGAACATTCTGGTTTTTATTCTGATGACATCTGCCATGATTTGTTTGCAGCACGTTGTCATCAGCTCTGACCTGGAAGCACTTGGGGTCCCTCTGAATGAGGGATATGAGGTAGTTACTTAATCGTTTTTTTCCTTTAATACCAGTGAGAGATTTAGTGTGTGCGTGCCATGCTGTATTCCTGCAAGGATAAAGCGCTGTCTTTAATGATTGTATCGCAGTTCTCCATCATCCAAATGAAATATAGGTGGTTTCAATCATTTGGTCACATTAAAAGGCACAAACATGAACCTATGTTTCTGAAAACTGACATTTATACTCGCAAATACACCCTACTCCACAGTTTTCCCTGCTATATCAAGACAAAATAGGAACAAAGGTGTTTTGGTCAGATTTGATAGGATCTTGCTGAAGTAGATAAATCAGGCAGCAATACGTACTACTGCCAGAGAGATTCTTACCTTCAACCTGATTTGAATTCTGTCCTCAGTAACATCAAGCACTTCAATTAATGGCTGACTTTCCAGTGCTGATTGGGAGCAAAAGGAAGGGCATAAAACAGCGCCTAGAAATCCATCAACATTTTCTTCAGTGACAAACAATCTTTCCTAAAGAAAAGAAAGAGCAGGTTATGGTCTTTTTGTACTATACTTCAGCAGTATTGGAGCAAGAAACTCACTCCAAAGCCAGCCAGGACACTGATTCACAACACAAGTTTCACAGCACTCTCTTGTCTCGATAGATTTTAAGTCAGACATTCAGAAGTAATGAGGTGAAATGAACTGAAGGGCAGTGCTTAGTTCATTTCGATTTAAAGTACGAATCTGCGTCACACAAAGATAAAAGAAACATATGTTTTCTCTCTTTCGATACATGACTAATATATAGATTTAGACTCCCTCTGAGGAATGATTTGCATCAGCATTGTTCCGCTGTCCTCACCTGTCTTAACATCAGGAAGGCATTACGCTTCGATGGATTTGTTTCAGTGTTTAACTTTAGGAAAATGCAAACACCTCCTTGGATTGTCACTGCAGGATCTTTGAACCCTCAGCCTTCAAGATCAGACCTTCTAAAGCAAAGGCTATGAAACATGCATGGCTGTATCCGTTTCACATCCACCCAAGAAGGCTTCTCAGATCTCCGTTTAGGCAAGAGTAAACAGCAGTTGGAAGAACCGGAGAGGTATCCACAGTTAAAGACAAACAGTCTGGGATGTGTTTGGAGGCTCTTAATATGCAGTTCACAAACAATGTGAAACACGTTGCTACAGGTTTAAAGATTTAAATCAGTTACAGGTAATTAAAGGTCCTAAAATATATCCTGGAGGGGCTGTTTCATAAGAACTGCAGAACTCTCCCTGTCCTCATATTCTTCCTAAATCATCTGCTGCAGGCCGCGGGTAAGGACAGATGTTGGCACAATAAAATCGGTCTACCCTAGAGGACTATTCTTACGTTCTGTGAATCACCTTTCCTGTTTAACTGCTTAATTGGAAATAGCAGGGAAAAGTTGCAAACCTACCTTAAGTCATTCTTCTAAATTTCTCAATCCAGTTCTAGCCTCTTGTCAACCCACTGAAAGTTAGATTCAATTATTACTGACATCTTGCGGACTGAGAAGCAAAAAGGCAATTCTGCACATTTTTGGCCCCCTGTGGATGTAGCCTTATGCACAGCCAGATGCCGCACTGTGCCTAAAGTACAAAATTTAACTGTCATCCTGAAAAAATAATGCTGTATGCAAAAAAATAAAACAGCATCCTGTTTTTAAACAATTAAATTAGAAATCACAATATGGAAAGTCGAAACGTACCTATTGCTGGTTTTCAAAGCCAGAGGACTGAGTTCATTTTCTATCCAGAAAGATTACAATCCAGGCAAACATCCAACATCGGATGCTGAGACAGTTTGTGAAAAGATTCAACTACAGCAGGGTTGCCCTGACAGAAAACCCTCCAGTAGCACACATGCATCTTGCATTTTTGTATACGAAGCCTAAAGTACTTAATTCCCTCGAGTTGCTTCCTTTCTTGCCTGCCACAGAGGGACCCTGCCAGCGCTTTAGGCTTGTAGAAATATTCTGCAGAGTTCAAGAGAAGGTGTCAGAGCAAAGAAACAAGGCAGGGAGTACAGACGCAAAATCTGTGCAGCCAAAACTCCCACAAGCTCATGAACTAGATCACTGGCAAGGCCCTGGGCAGCACAGGAGATGCATTTCCACCTCCGCCAAGTATCGCTTTGCCCACGCATCACAGAGGGAACAGCTCACCTTCCCTTCCACGGGGTTTTCGGCACGCTGCCGAGCGCGATAGCGGATCAGCCCGTCCCGGTATCCTGCCTTCGCTTCGAGGGAAAGTGCAGCAAAGCACCTTCTGCTCCAGCACGACGTCTCTCCTTACCCAGATGAGAAATTTAAGTCACCTGCCAGTAATTCACCTTTAGCTGACACCTCCACACTCCACATTTTAAGAGCAAGAACGTTTTCCTAAAAGCTGGAGGCTCAGAATTTGCGTGAGGATAAAATGAGACCAGTGTCTGTTACTGGTTTTCCTCTAAAATAACTGCTACAAGATCTCCACATCTCAACACCCCTTTGGGAAAAGAACCACCCTGGGTTTGGGGTCTCAGCAATCTTGCTTCGATTCTCTGCCTTCTCCTGGACTGCTATGGCTGTGAGCGAGTCTCTGCCTCCATTTTTCCTATATAAAATGGCGAAAACAACCTCAACCTGCATGTGTTTTGTATTGTGTTTTTCCTCTCAACCTGCATGTGTTTTGTATAGTGACAGCATAAGCCTTTTGTGAAAGGACTCTTACTGTGCATTTGTGCTCTTAAAGTTGGTGCCTGACCTTGCTCATACCTATAAACAGCGTAACAATAAAAAGAAATCGCAGGTACAGGAATCAGGAGAGGAGATGCTTGAAAAGCCAACAGGTAATGAGAAGTTTTCCGTTACATGAAAATACAACAAATTGCATCCTTAGATCGCTTTCTCTGAAGCGACGTTAACCACAGGGTCACCTGCAGACGCCGCAGAGCCGCTGCCTCCGAGGTCGGCGCCGTGAGGAAGCGGCAGCGGCGGCGGCAAAGGGAGCGCTCTGCCGCGGGGCGCAGCACCCGGCACCCCCCAAAACGCCGGCACGGTTTCACGGAAGCATTTCTGAAATAGCAGGAGACAGTTTACACGCACCAAAGCGGAGATACAACGAAGAAAACCGGGAGGACCCTTAGGAGGGAACGTGAGGTTGAGGGAGCTCCGTATAGAAACTGCCTCCCCGGGTCAGGGTGCGAGAGCCAGCGCGGCGCATCGACCACGGCTACGAGACGAGAGCGACAGCCGTTCATCCTCAACACAAATATGACTTTGCACTTTGGCAGCAAACCACATCAATCTTTCTGAAGGTTTTCTCCCTGATTAAAAGCAAAGTGATTTGTTTCCTTCACCGAAAATACTGTTATATAAGAAAATACTGTTTGGAAGGTCTATTGATCAGTACTCTACACAAGGATAAAAAGTAACTACTCGTGGTGACGTTCCTATCATTTTAACTAATTACTACAAAACAATTCTACCAGGCTTCATACCAGCTCAACACCATATTCCCAGAGCACTGCACTTAAATTTCAAGTAAGTATTTAAAATGTTATTGCAGCACTACCCAGTGGCCTGTCATAAATCACAGTACCTTGTGCTGTGCACACAAGCAATGCTGTTTGTTATCAATATAATGATTATCATTAGCCTGCTCAGACAGCCAGCGACTGTAATTCAGACTCTGCATTCACAGTGAGTATACGCTGAGGCATTTATATTGCTGCAGATGTTATCAAAGCACAGACCTTGAAAAAAAATGATTCGGGAATTTATTTTAAAGCCTGTTTGCTCTGGCTTGGAAGAGCAGCAAAGGACAACCATCTGCAGATGATTTCAATGACCCTGTAAAATAATTCTTTGGTTTAAACAGTTTTATTTTCTGATATTTATGATACTCTCTTAGCAACTTAGAATTAAATTTGGTTTTCCCTGCACATACTGTCATCTGCTGTTTGGTACACATTCGTTTTTCTCTGTGACTAAACTGAGACCAAATTAACATAAACGTTAGCAGGAATGACTTTGGTTTCTAGAACGCTTCATTCGAAACCGTCCTCACACGGCCCAGCACTGACAGCGCAGGGCGGGCACACGCAGCACAAAGCCGGTCCCCCAGGGCTGCCCTGAGCACTCCAACAGTTTGTTCTGCATGGCTTTATCCAAACCTCGTAGCCCGTTACCATCCAGAGTTACCTCCCACAGAGGCTGCAACAGTTTTAGAAGCGGGACAGATTTCAGGCTTAAATTATTTGCGTGTCTTCTGTGATGAGAAGCTCGTGCCAATACGAAAAGGGGTTTGGGGCTCGGGATCTCCCAGCCCCTTGGTTTCCAGAGTCCCACTACAAACCAGTCTGACATGAGAATCTGAAGCTCAGAGTTTTGGTGAATGAAAGTACCTGTACTGGGAGAGAAAACTGTTATAACATATAAATGACTGCAAAGGTTAAACAGCTCAAAGGAAGCTTTAATGAGCTTAATCAGTAGGTTAATAATGTTTTCTGACATAACTGTTTTGTGTAAGTATGTTATTCCCATAATGCATCTACCAATTAAAGGCTATTCAGAAATTAGTTTGGTTTATAGCAGAAGCAAACTAACTATGTTTCTTACTGTAGTTTGTGAGATTACTTTGGAAAAAAAAAAAAAAAAAAATCAAACAATAAGTTTGTTCTCTTCTCCTTTTCTGTCCTCCTCTGACCTCCCCAAAAACTTGCCAAGTGTCCTGAAACACCGAGCACAGGATTAACTGAACCAAAAATAAACTGTTGTGGGATTAAGCATAATGGTCCTAGTTTCCAGCATCACCTTCTAAGAAGTGACCCCTAATTATTATATTAACTCTTTACAGTAGCTTGGAAGTTGAAACTTATAAGCCTGATTTTCAAAGAAAGCACGTAACACAACTCAAAATAGCTTGGAAGTAAGGGCAAAACCTAGATGCAGCAGTACAGCCAGCCGGACTGCCCCAGCCCCCCGCAAGCCAGCACCTCTGGACCTGTGAGCACACCGCAGCACGCACGCAGCTCTCCGGTACAGATTTCTCCCTGAAAGGCGGCTTAAAGCGTCAATATATCTTACACTGCCCAGCACAGCTCTCTACGTTTCATGCTTGGTTGACTCATAAACTAAGAAATATATTTATCCACAAGAGCCCTAATCCTGAGATTGTGGGGCATAAGGCTAGTCCCAGCACGGCCCCAGGCAGCGTGCCCACGGGAGCACACCTACCCCCACAGCCTTTTCCGCACGCCCTCGGCGCCGGGAGCATCGTAGCTCTGCCACCAGCAGCTGCACGCAGGTAATTTCTTTTCCAGGGAATACGTGGCCTCTCAGCAACCCCACGCCAGGCACATGTCCAGCGTGGCTGGAGAGCACGGGATCCGCCTGGGTGCAACAGACCTGACAGCACATACAAGACAAATACCGTGTTCCACGAGATAACAAAAGGATTAATTACAAAGACCAAGAGTCCCTCTGTTGTAAAGACAACTAAAAATAATGTTTTTCCCATGGTTTTTTTTGTGTAGGTAGGCCATAGCAGGTGTTTGTCTCGGAGGAGCTGCCCACAGCATACCTGTTGCCAAAGCAGAAGTCCAGGGCTTAGAAAACAACACGTGACAGTAGGTACAAGCAGCAAGCAGAGGTCACTGGGCTTCAGCGTTATTTATCGGCTGCTTTCTGAAGGAAAAAGCAACAAGAGCTTCAAAAGCATCTCCTTCACAAGGTGCTGGTGGCTGTGCCAAACAGAAAAATCACACCTCTTTTTTTTTATGCTCAGTAACACACCCGTCAAAAACATTCTCCATGAAGGCATCAACATTCACAGAGAAGTTAAACAAAGCTTTCGGATCGCTATGCAATTCCCTTCTAGATACCTATGTTAAGCAATCCTCACAAACAACATAACTCACGCTTAGTTCAAACCATGAACTAATCAGGAAAGTTTAGTATAATGTTTTTCATACTGTAAATGTTAACAAAACAAAATCTCAATGCATAGTAAAGCAGAGGAAACATTGCTCCCTGCTGTTCTCTTGAGCCCTGTGGGGGTTTACATGAGTTAAATTTTAATATTCTCCATAACAGAACATGGGCTTTTATTACAAAAGGGATGGGCTGACTGCAGCAATTCCCTCCCCAGCCAGGGAGTCACCGACCAGGAGAGTGAGCTCACGTCCTCTGAACAAACTCACTGCAGTCCGCTGAGAAGGGTGTGGACCAGCATGAACGGGAATTATTACTTTAACCCATCTTTTTCTAATCACTGGGAAAATGAGCACACATGACCCAAAAACTGCAGGCAGAATTAATTATCTACCAAGTGTGTTTCACATGCTAGTGTAACTGAGCCTCCAAGTCTCCACAGTTCAGATACACCTACCAGAAAACTGGTTTTTACTTACTGAATTGATCATTTAACCTCAGGAAACCAAACATTAAAAGACGGTGCTTTAGAAAGGCATGATTTCAGTGATTTCCCAACTCCAGCTCTGCCGTAAACTAGGACACTTCTGGGACGTGTGGTTCTCAGAAACTTTGCCTGGCAGGCTTACAAATTTTATTCATGGTTATTTAACTCTCCACCATTCTTTTTTCATCATTTATTCCCTCGGCTCTGTTGTCTTAAAATGAAGGGGAACAACTCCCTGATGCAGGAGTTTCCTAGTCCTGAGTTCCCAGCGTTTAAACAAATAGAAGCAAGAGATTTAGAAGATATTAGTGGGTGGACTGCGGTAAAGAGCAGTGGAGGGAGCACAGCCCACAGCCTGTCCTTCAAAGCCCAAACCAGCAGGCGAATTCCGACAGCAGGGAAGCTGGGCAACTTTCTGAGGTCATGAGCCTCTGTTGCCCTGGAAAAACAGGGCCTGGAGCAAGCCCTGCAGAAAGATGAATGCTGTATGGTCTCTGGTACAGTGACAGAACACAAGGCCAGCGACAAAAGACAACCTTTAAACCCCTGAAATATGTGACCCTGGTCTACAGCATCTAAAGTTATGGAATCTTTATTTTCATAGGATTTCTGCTCACCATAACAAGTGTGTAGACATTATGGCTTAGCAAAGGAGGAAAGCTACTCAAAGATAAGCGATGGCTGCTACTGCTGATAGGCAGTTAGGGCTCATAGTCAGCAGGGGGATGACTCTTCTATTGTATGGGAAAGCGGTAAAACCAAAGCAACATCAAGAGCTATCAAATGAAGGAACACTTGAAATGACACAGAGTCCAGGGAGGACCCGCTGCCTTGTAAAGACTTGCTGAAAATAAGCACTTGCTGGGGTGGGAATTCAGACTGCTCAGCATCTATGGAAACTGAGCTCTAAATATACCATCCTTCAGGCACAGAGATTCAAACGTATCTGACTACAAAAGGAAGGCCAGTCCTTGAAATTCTGTTTCAGGAATGGTGTCCTAAGAACAAGCTCAACTCCTTCTTTTACCACTACCTGTATGAGACCAATTTTCCAACAAGAAGAGAGGCCACTGCTATAACAGGAACATCTCCAGCACGCAAGACAGGGCTGTGCAATTACCGGCACCGTTATCGTACGTGCTGATCTGGGCAGAGGCGCACAGGCAATCAAAATCAAGCGATACGCTGCCTGCACTACATCACAGTCCAGGGACGAGGCTGCTGACGAGATGCATTCTGCTCACGCAGTGAACAATTATCGTAACACATTTTCCTGGCTGTTTGAGAAGTTAATGGGAAACAATCACGCAAGCAGCCTAACAGGGTGCTGTAGCAGCCACCGTGGCATGAGCTAGCGCTGATTTGGGAAAATTGTTGAAGTAACTAACCCAGCAAGGAATCTGTTCCATGAAACAACACATAAACCCTTGGTCTCCAGTAAGAAACAACTTCCCAGAAGGTAGCAGAGTAGGAATTTCATATCTGTAAAAAACACTGGCCTCTTCTTTCACCGCATGCTCTCCTCTGACAATGCTACTGTGGGAGAGGAGATTACAAACAGACATCAAAGCGTGACCAGGAGGTGCAAGATGAAATTCCTGCTCACCTAGGCCATCAAAGGCTCCCTGAAATGATTAAACAGGGTGCTGCTACCGCATGCATTCCTAAAACACTCTTCTATGACTTATGCAACTCTTGGTGTAAGAATCGTAAATTTCTAGAAAGAGATTCAAAGCAGAAAAGCACAGAAATGAGAGCAAATTGAAGAAAACATAAGTAGAAGAGAAGCTACCATGAGAAAATAGTTAATAGACAGGAGACAGCATATAATAGTACCTCTAATTAAATATTAATTTTTCTCACTTCACTCTGAGTGAATGCAGCTATCAGCACTGGCACAGGCACTTTTGGGAGATAGCACAGTTAAAAAAAAAAAGCAAACAGAAGAAATGACTTCAGATTATTTCAGCTGCTTCAATTTGCAGACCCCGTATCCAAAAGGACTGCACCCCAGAAGAAATCAATCTTTTTTAGTCTGTTACGTGAATGAATGGCTGGGAGGCCTACGACTAATGCCCCATCTCCTCCTACTACCACTCCACCCAAAACATTTTGCGATATATAATAAACTCAGAACATTCAAAGATTTTTTAAGCCACAAAACTGTAATATTGACCAAAGTCTCATTACTGGATGGCCTTTTAACAACCTTCAATCAAAAGATGTTCCCCCAATCATAACAAATGCACACACCAAACACTTTCAATCTTAGATCAAAGCATGTCGAAATGTCCATCAATCACAGTACTGAAGAGATAGTGCAGCAGGATTTCTTGCTCCCAAACGGAATTCTCAGCCATAACCCCCCCCAGAGTCACAGAAAGCAGCTTCCCTTAAAACCTGCATTTAGGCCTGCACACCATAAAATAAGGAAGCGCACAAACATGCACCATGCCACATGATGAAAAGTATTCAGACTATCTGAAAAAGCAAATAAAATGCCTGTAGTTCCTACCCCATGCCTTCTGTACCTATACAGAAAACTGGCAGTAGTCTGCACCGTGGCTTATCTAATGTTGCATTGGCACCCAGTACTTGATCACACCAATTAAAAGTAGAGCCGAACATTTCATGGCCCCACTTGCACAGACTTGCAGGCAAGTTCCTGCCCGCTAAAAGCAAAGGAAATGCACTGCAAACAGTTCAGCGTAGGTGGTTCTCAATAAATTCATCATCCTTGATACTTACCCAAAATGATCAGCTCCTCCTTCAAAGGAGTTGCCATTACAAAAAAGGCATGCAGCCTGCTAAATGGACAATGAAATGGGAAGATTCTGCTGCACCTACACTAATTGGGTAAGTATCTTTTGGAATTGTGCAGTATTTTCTAATTGTAGGGATGGAGCAATTAAGATACCCCAAGCCACCATCCCAGTGGCTATACTTCAAGCCTGCCGGTTTTCTGGACTTGCACTCCCCACAGTATGTGTTCCAACCCGCCAAGGGTTTTATTGTTCTAAAATAAAGACAAACTCCAAATCACATGGCTGAAAAGCTACACAAGAACTGTGCAGTCTTAATCCCTGCTTGTGATAATGTCTGAAACTCTGAGTTTACAGAATAACGCAATTCTCCACAAAACTGGTGTGAGCGCTTCTTGACAGCAAGAGTGCCACAAGGTGAGCATCCCTTTGCAGGGACACTGCCAGTTCTCAGCAGGCACTGTTGGCCAGATGCAGCAGACATGCCAACCTCCTCCCGCCACAAGGAGCATCACTACCTAGCGACCCATAAAATAATAAAACATCTAAACTAGAATCATATTCAGACTAGGAAAAGAACTAGCCCAGCAAAATGGCAATCAACAGCAGTTCACGGTTGCTGTTTGCTGTACTGCTTTGGTTTAACTAATGGGTATTCCTGCAGCTGTAAAGGGGGGTTCTGTCCTCAAATACACAGGTACACACCACTCACATGTCTGCATTTCATTGCACTGTATTCATGTGTTTGTACATCTGGTGTATTATAAACATCCACCTTTCTTCATGTGACTAGGCTGCATGAGCAATGTACACAGCCTTAAAGCCTAACACTAAGGTCATAGGGTAGGCTCAGTTTTCACTCATCATCAGAATTTCCCTTAGAAAAAAAATCAGCATTGTAGGCAAAAACCATTTCCATTCCAAGGACGAAGATGTCATTTCTGTGACGTGACCTTCGTGCTGCTCGTACAAGACTAGCACTAATTAGGTCAGTTCCCCTTACATCCGGCAACAGCTCTCTGAGGGAAGCAGTTTCCGTCGCTACCAACTTCTTCTGAACTCAGGCCGATAACCTACCAGCTCCCTGAGACATCATTCATAAACAAATCCAAACAGCAGAAGCCACACGCCGCAGCAACTCGGCGGTGGCACTCCGGGGAGCGTGAGGCACACCAACCCTGCCATTTTGAAGCCGTTACCTGCAGAGCGGAGGCGTCAAGGCCGAAGCAGAACTTCTCCCAAGGCCCAGTGCTGCCGGGGGCCTTGGCGAGCCCAATGGCAGCGCTGTGGGCAGACACGCTAATGCTGCTCTCGGGGGATGCCAGCTTGTTTGCGGGAGGAAACTGTAAGAAGAGGGCATAGGTGCCGGTGTCACTGGAGAAGCGGAGGCTGTAGTGGTTCGTGCCCACGTCCCCGCTGAGGCTCTGGGGCTGGATGCCAGGGACATGCAGGAGCAGGGTGAGGGCGGCCTCATCCTGCCGGCACTGGAAGGGAGGGCATACGGCGGCCTCGGGGCTGCCGGAGCCCCGGGGAAGAGCCATCTCGCCGGGGCTGCCCTCTGCGGCCGGGCTCTCGGGAGGGCACGGAGGGGCGTCCCCGCCGAGGCCGCGGGGCGCGGGCGGCTCGGGGCTGGCAGCGGGGGAAGCGGCGCCGGAGCCGAGGCCGGGGTCCGGGGCAGGAGCCGCCCCGCCGCCCTCCTCAACCGCCGGCGGCTCGCCCAGCCCCTCCACGCCGGGCTCGGCCTCCTCCGACCGCTCCTCCCGCGGAACGGGCCGCGGCACCACGGGCAGCGTGATCAGGAGCTGCCGCCGGGCCTTGTCGAAGGCGGCCCGCCCGCCGTCCTCGTCAACGTCGTAGGGGAGGCGGAGGCGCAGGCGGTAGGCGGGACGCTGCGAGTCGAGGCGCAGCTCCCGGCCGCGAATCTCCAGCTCGGCCTGGGAGGCGGAGCGCAGCAGCGGTAGCTCCACCGTCACCACCAGCTCCCGCGGCAGCGGGCTGGGCGCCGAGTCGCGGCAGCAGCGGTAGTCTTGCAGGTCCACGTAGGAGCGGTGGCGGATGCTCCAGCGCGGCGTGGTGGGGCCGGAGGGCTGGGCGGGCGGCTGGGCGGGGAAGGAGGGCGGCAGCGGAGAATCGCCACCGCCGCCGGGCAGCGGGGTGCGGATGACGGGCGCCTGCGGGACGCCTTTGTACTTGGTGCCGCGGAGGACGGCGGCGTTGGCGCGGTCGAGCTGGACGCCGCAGTGCCGCTCCACCGCCTCCAGCGCCGTGTCGCTGAGCAGGCGGCGGAACCGAGCGCTGCGGGCGGCCAGGCGGAGCGCCGCAGGGTGGAAAACCACGTCGTAGACCAGGCGGCGGCGGCCGCCGCGGCCGAGCTCTTCGCGGCCCGGAGCCAGGCTGTACGGCAGGGCCCAGCGGTGGCCGCCGGGCTCCGGGCGGGCCTGCGGCGGCCCAAGCTGGGGGTTGCTGCAGACGTTGAGGTAGCAGCGGCGGGAACCGCCCTGGCTGGTGCGCAGCACGTAGCCCGCTGTGGGGTGGACGAAGCGGACCTCCACGCCGCGTTCCCGCTCCAGGGCAGCCACCTCTTCCTCGTACAACCGCCGCTGCTCCGGGTCGGCCAGCTCCGCGGCGTACTCGGCGAACAGCTCGCGGAACTGCCGGTCGCGGAAGGCTTGCTGGAGCCGCTCCGTCTCCTCGGCGCTGAGCTCCAGCTCCTCCAGCCTCCCCGAGCCCGCCATGGCTCCGGCCCGGCCGCGCTCGTTGCTGTGGAGACGCCAAACAAGATGGCGACCCCGGCCCAGCAGCGCTCGTTGCTGTGGTGATAGCAAACAAGATGGCGCCGCCGGACACCTCCGGCCAGTTGCTATGGAGACGCCCAACAAGATGGCGACCCCTTCCTCACAGTGGGCTTCCTCACAGTCGATCCCTCTACCCTTGTGAGCCCTCCATCGTGCCCCCGCTGAGCCTTCCCCCTCATTTCACCTCAGGGGCTTCGCGCTGGCTCTCAGCCCTTGCCCCCATGACTCTCCCTTGAGGCCCTCCTCATCCCTTTGCAAACCTCGTGCTCCCCCAGAGCGGGAAAGGGGTCTGTGAAACAGAACGGCTGGTGCTGAGGCTCCCTGAGCTGTTCCACACCTGATCTGGGCACTTTGGGGGAGCACCAGTCTGCTCCCCTGGTCACAATGCCTGCCAGCAGCTGGGGCAGGTTTTCACTTCGTTTCATCAAAAAGGGTGCGATTCCACATGTGGACAGGCTGCTCTCAGCTCTAAGCCAAACCAGCTGCTGGCACAGAAGTTGTCTCTGCCAGGCCTTGACTCTTTCCCACCTTCCCGATTGCTCCTTCAGCAAGATTTCCTCCTCCTGGCCTTCTGCAGAAGTGTCAAAGGACCATGTCCTCGTTCCTCTTACCTCTACTCGCCCTGCCTGCATAATGCTATCCACAAACATATACTGCCATTAGTAAATAACACCCCATCATCTTATCTAGACCCTTCTGTCCAAAGAAAAACCCAAGCCCACATTTCCAGTATCCCCTGTAGATAACTAGCTCTCAGTTCAACTCAGCATGGTGAAAGAGAAAAGTTTTCCCTACTTGTAACTTATTTTTTAAAAAAAGGTATTTCCTGCTTGGTATACATGCATCTGGTTTCTCCCGTTGCCTTCTTTTATTAGGTTTTGCCAGTTAATCTTCACTGTCACTCTACATTTTATTGAAACTAGCACCAGTATCTTTTCCTGTAAAAGTTTATTTGTGTACAAAATAGACCACTTTTGGCTTTGACATGGATTACAAACAGTCTATAATACATCATAAAAATCAATCCATCTCAAATGAGTGCTATGGTTGGCTTTACAGAGGCTTGCTCCCTTTTTGTAGTCTCGCAGAAATTCAAAGACCCTGAAGCTTGCTGAAAATACCAAATAAAAACAATACTTATTTTTTTAAAAAGCTAGTTCACAATACTATTCTATTTCTTGATCTATGAAAGGCTTAATAATGTTTTAAACTATTTAAAACCCTAAAGCATCTCATGCTATGATATTTTCTATACTCAAGTATAGAACATGGGTTAAGCTATTATCAATTCCCGTGGAAGGGTGGAGGGTGTTACACACTCCTGTTTGAGAAAAACACAGCTTCTGCAATAAGGCATGAAACTGAATCAGACAAGACAAATTTGCACTTTTCCCATTGGGTTCTACCATCATTATTTCAAACAGGCAATTTTCATCACAGTTATAAGCCCTTTGATACTTCTTGATGCTTTTTGGTGTTGCAGATGCCCTTCCAGTCAGTGGAAGCACAGTTGGAATTAGTAAGTACAGATTTAAAATATGTGAAATCAAACCATGAAAGTGGCTTCTGGGCTTGATGATCACAGAATGAACCAAGAATAGTAAGTGTAATTAACCTATGTAACAAGCATCATCTATGGAAACTAATCTTCTACCCTATTTGGTCTCAATTATTGAAAATCATACAGTACACTATCGTTCCCTTTACTTTTGGACCATCGTTGTTACTTGACTGTAATTTCTAAATTTATTATTTTAGTTGTAGACATTTGGATTTCTTACACTGCCTACATATGAAGCATAAGTCTACATTAAACTGCTCGAACATTCACTCTGCTTATAGAAGTGATTTTCTGTGTTCCTCCTAATAATGAGAAGGTTAGCAAGTAGGAAGATACTTCCTTTTAAATGAGAAACTGAACATATTTACCTGTCTTCAACAGTCTTGTTGGAGGGGTAGAATACCTTGAATGAAAATCCACTTCTTGGAAATGAACCCTGTAAAGAAAAATGTATATAGCACACTTGTGTCAGTAAAATATTGTACAAATAGAAAGAGACACACTTGAATGCGACTGCACCCCCTTCTTATTTAGGTAAAGCATACAGAAATCTTACTGGATTTATGCAAAGACAGTCAACGTTGGTAACAGTGAATGGGTCATATTTATCTGCAATGACGAGCATATCTGGCACAGGATATACCCTCAGGGCGTAGTCATAGGCCCAGTACACAGGGCTAACATACAACGGCAGTGGCGTCAGATGTGCTTGTGATAATATAGTCTTTACAAACTGCAAGATAAACATAAATAGTTAATTTGAACCATTTTCTGCAAGTCAAACTCATTCCTGTAGATGCTAATGCTCTGTTAATAAAGAAGCTTTGAATCTGGAAATGGTTTTTGTGTATCTTACTCCCTCTGATTATCACTGATGTCTAGAGTAAAGCAGCAACTCCCCTACAACAGTCAGCTGCGTTTTGTGTGTGTGTGCCTGTTGTGGGGTTTTTTTTTTTAAGTTTTTCTGAAACTTATCAGCCAATATTTGAAGATCTTTAAACAGTTTCATCAATCACTCTCCAAGAGAGACATCTGCTTACCTGTTCCTCCAACCCAGGAAGTGCCAACATTGTCATAACTTTCATTCTGTGTTTTTTGTTGTTGTTGTTTTGTTTTGTGTTTTTTTTGTTTGGTTGGTTTTTTTGTTTGTTTGTTTGTTTGTTTGTTTTCCTTCTTCATGGTTTTCATCACAGTACCAGTTAACCACAAGACCCACGCTTAAACACAGTCTTTTCCCTGAACTGAGGAAATCATTTGATTCCGAAATGATTTCAATTCCTTTGGCTATACTGGGAGTTGCCCTGCTCCAGACACCAGCTGCCCCCTTTCATTTGCTTTTTCATCTGACAAATTCCAGACAGGGCATTTTGGTTCCTACAACTCTCTCCTCAAGCCCCTTCAAAGCTTCTATTATTTCTAATCATTCATATAGTTACCATTAGGTTCCATTTTTCCCAAAGGGCCAAAATAACTACAGCGAATTGGTGGAAGGGTCTGCTGTTGAAAGAAAATGATGTACCAAGTATAAGCCCAGTTATTCCACTAACACTGTACAAGGCCTAAAGACACTATGAATTCAATCTAATGTTAGTAACAAGATTTCCCCTTCCCATTCTCCTTTTTACACTGATAGCTGAATTAAAAAAACTAATGACAGGCAGAAAAGGCAGAGAAAAACTGAAGTATACAAAAGCAACCCAATATTCTCACCAGCAGAAAGAGTTCCAATACATAATTCTACATTTCCTTCATGATTCTTTCCCTCCCACACCTGAGAAAGCCCTGTATGAGTACAGGGAAGTGATAGCTTGCAGCGTACACATACATGTACGCAAACATGCAAACCAAAACCAAGGTGCATCAGTGTCCACAATGAGTACCCTGTGTTCACAAAGAAACTGAGCACTGTCACGAGGAATGACGGAAAAAAGAGCTGAAAGTTTCTGAGTCAAACGAACAAACAAAAAAACACCCTATAAAATAAACAGAAACAAGACTCCATCCATCACCACAATGAGCCGGTACTGCCTGGATTATTCGCATTCAATTGCATCAGGTAAGTCCTATCAACTCCTGATGTGCATTCATTAACTAGAATCATAACTCAGAGTGCTGTGGCGATGTACCAAAAGCAGGATTAAGACTTCAAGTGGGAAGACAGAAGACACAGATGACCTTTTGGAAAAGTGACATGCTGCTTTACTGCAAATGTCACTGGTTAATTGATTAAATTTTTTTTTAAAAGTTAATTTATATTAAACTTTGCCTTTAGGAATCAATGTTTCTTGGTACAACATTCATTGCTATGCTCATACACCAACAGTCAGCTGCTATGAAGTTGTGGGTTCAAGGGCACCTGCAGTGGGACAGTCAGAATGACTCAATGCCATCGATCAGTATCATGGTTTCAGTTATTTTACTGTCAAGATGGAAATGAAGGTAATAATACTAAATGTATAGATCCTTCTTACTATCCCTCTCAGTTAATCTTGCAACGTGTCATGAGAACACAGATCAGAGCACCCTAAATGCAGACCGGCTGATTAAAAAAGAAGTCAAGGAGATCTTAGCAAAAAGAGTTGAACACAACTCACATGGTTGGGAATGTCCATGTTGCTGCTGGGGAAGCGGACACAGTTCCTGCACATTTTGTTCACCAAATCTTCACGAAAGATAATTATTTCTTGGGTGCAATATTGAACCCTAAACGGAAAACATCAATGAAATTAAATAGAGATGAAACTAAAAGACAGGAAGCTGCATTATAAAGTTGATCTCCCTCTAGTATGGCAAAACAAAAAAGCATGAAAATAATACTCTCCCATATTCTCTTCATTCTCAGCAGATGCAGAAAATACATGATGCTTTTGATACTTGCTATCAAACTTCTAGCACCACTTCCTTTCATCACTATTTATTATATTTTAAACTAGTTATAATTAATGCAAGTGAGGAATTCTAATAAAGACAAATGTTTCAAAAATTTGTCATTTTTGAAAATTACATCTGCACGTAAATTAGTCATTCAGTAAAAGAACCCCATGAAAAATTGCAGTAAGTTACACTGTTACCTGCAAGGATTTGTGGTGAAAACTGAAAATGGCACCAGCTGTCTGAATTCCTGAGTAATATTTTCAGCCAGAGGAGGTCTAAAATAAATAGCAACAGAAGGCATCAACAAAGACTCTTACCTTCTTTAACTATTTAACTCAAAATTCCAAAATTTTAGAAAGTGAACCAGACTGACCTTGGTAAAATAGAACCAGGACCAGGGTCTTCAGGGCCAGGAACAAACACAAATCGACTACTGTAAAATGTGCAACATATCACTTTTATACAAAATGATCCTGTAAGTATCTAAATATTGGTTACATATAGCCATTACTCCCCAGATGCATGCAAATAACCTATTCTGGGGCAGAAATGACAGCTCTTCCTGACCTTAAGAACCACATAAATCACGACTAAGGCATAAAGTACACATCCATTCCTCATTAAAGTGGAGCAAACCTTAAAAACTGTTCACCGTGCAAGAGGGACCAACTGTGGGAAGGGAGACAGACCAGGTGTGCAGCCTGGCTCAGGACTCGGTGGCAATGGGTTCCAGGATCCCATACGGGGACCCCAGATAATCAGGCAGCGGCACACCAGGAGGGCCCCACCGGGACAGAGGACGGGGGATCGGTACAGGAGGTACGCTTGCTTACACCTCACACGGAGCTCAAGACCCGCAGGCTGTGGCCATTCCTGCTTTTGGGGCCCATTCCAGGAATCAGGTCTACTTAGGGGCTACTGTTATGAATTCAAATATCAGAAGCCAGAAGGGATAAGCCTAGCTGCCTCCTTATTTTACTCTCCCTTGTATACTCGAATCTCTGTAGAAGGGATTTAGTTCTCCAGGCCTGAAATGGGACTCCCACAGAGCAGGGATACAAGAAGGGATAAATAAAAGATTCCTCTGGAGGATTGCATTTCCTTGGTTAGCTCTCAAACCAGCAGCCATGGAGAACCATGTATGCAAGAATGGAAGAGACAGAAACAAGATGCTTCCGTGTCAGCAGCAATCAGTGTTTCAGACGAAATTTTCTGGGGCTGGTACAGAAGGTCTGTAAGCGCTCACAGCAGCATCAGGACTTCAACATCAGCTTATAAAGCAGCATTGCTCAGGCAGAACCCCGCTGATTTCAAGGGAATTCCAGGGGAAAAGGGCTCACCCAAATAGTGCTTTTGAGGGAATCATGGGCAATGTTTAATCCATGTGGAAAATGTTCCAGA